AAGTGACAGTATAATCCTGAAGAGAAGGCCATCGCTCGCTGAATAATGAGGCCTCGGGTCTGGAGAAGAGACGGTTAACAGTTGCTTCACAATGCTCGTATTACAGGTTGTGTTGAGTTTCATCAAACGGTTGAAAGCGGACAGAACGGCGAACAGATTCACACGCTCATTATCAGCACGCTGTTGCTCTGTGGTGAGCAAAAGCAAAGATTTGACCACAGTTAAAGTGAGTGTGGTGTTAGGCAAAGATGCAAAGATGTCGATACTGAATAAAAAATTTGAATAATATTAGTATTAGTAGTATTAGTAGACATTTACTCTTTATCTCCCTTTATGAAGTATATATATATATATTTAAATTATTTGTTATTATTTATTTATTTAAATTTTTCTTATTTATATTTTTATTAATATTATTTTATTATTAAAATGTTTAATTATTTTATTAATGAATTAATATCCATTTTTGACAGCTATATATATATATACACACACACATACATACACACATTTATTATTTACATATATTGTTGTAAATACATACATATAATATTATATTATAACACATATAATATTATAAATGTTTTTTTTATCATATATAAATATTTATTTATTATATCATTAAATTTAATTAATTACATTTTAGATAGATAGATAGATTAATATTTTCGGCTTCCATTACACCTGAGCAGTGCCACAGGCTGATTGTCTCCATGCCACGCCGCACTGATGCAGTAATTCATGCAAAAGGAGCCCCTACCAAGTATTGAGTACATGTACAGTAAATGAACATACTTTCCAGAAGGCCAACAATTCACTAAAAATGTTTTTTTATTGGTCTTATGAAGTATTTTAATTTGTTGAGATAGTGAATTGGTGGGGTTTTGTGAAATGTGAGTCAAAATCATCCCAATTAAAAGAACCAAAGACTTAAACTACTTCAGTCTGTGTGCATAGAATTTATTTAATACACGAGTTTCACAATTTGAGTTGAATTACTGAAATAAATGAACTTTTCCACGACATTCTAATACTCTTTATTGAGATGCACCTGTATATATATTTATATATATAATTACATTATTAAAATCAATTAATTTCAACTGTAATTAAAATTCTATAATTATAATTCTATAATTCTATAATTAAAATTAAAATAGATAACAATCATAACTAGTTTAAGTATGGGCAAATAGTAATAGTGAGTGATGCTTGCCACTAATAAACAATTCTTTCACAAAGTAATAATATTGTTCATTAGCCTAACTGTAGGCAGTTTATGGGTTGCCAAGCAACATTATGATCAAAGATTATGCTGTAAACAAATTGTAGCAGCAGTGTATAATTTAATGAATGTGCGGTCCGGTCACAGATGAGCTATTTTGTAATGGATTTAAATATGACCCATCCAAACACATTTTTGATTGATTCTGTGAACAGCAGATGATATTATGTGTAATCAAGCGTTAGATGGTATGTCTTTAAAATAATTTGTGCCTGTTGATGGGTAGAATTTTTATAAAAAGTTAGGACAGATTAAATAAGTTTATAGCTTTAGCAGATTTCTCCTCTGTTGTAATATTTTCAGCCTGATCTTTGCTTCATCACTGAACACATATTGGTGTCTCTCTGTGGAAGTTGATTTGTCCAGTACTATTCGTTGCAGCCATTATCCAGCTCCTCGTCTCTCTCTCTCTGTTCTGTTCATGAAAGGAGAAGCGAGGGAGGGGGTCAATTCTTCTAATTGAAATTCTTTGCAGAGTCTCCATGGGAATAGTAAACTTTGGAGAGGGTTTGAAGAGAAAGGGGGAACAGGACAGAGAGAGTTATTGAAAAGATTTCCCCCCACAAACTCTGAGGTGGGAGGGATCGGAATGAGAGATGTTCGTGGACATGGACGTCCGTTTAATGAGAGAGAGGGATATGTGTTTGCACCTCCGTTTTTTATTTCTGGGCTGGTTTCTCTGTTGTATTCTCCACAAACTATTTCCAGGGTTATTACATTCATGGAAAACCTATCGAAATGTCAGGGAATTTGAAGAAAAAGTAAGTTTTATAGTAAAAATAAATGTTCCTGGTTATGCTTTCCTCTAAAATATTTTATTTGTTTGAATTGCTTTTTGTTTGTGCAATATGTAAAATAATTTAAAAGAATTTTTATAAAAAGTTAGGACAGATTAAATAAGTTTATAGCTTTAGCAGATTTCTCCTCTGTTGTAATATTTTCAGCCTGATCTTTGCTTCATCACTGAACACATATTGGTGTCTCTCTGTGGAAGTTGATTTGTCCAGTACTATTCGTTGCAGCCATTATCCAGCTCCTCGTCTCTCTCTCTCTGTTCTGTTCATGAAAGGAGAAGCGAGGGAGGGGGTCAATTCTTCTAATTGAAATTCTTTGCAGAGTCTCCATGGGAATAGTAAACTTTGGAGAGGGTTTGAAGAGAAAGGGGGAACAGGACAGAGAGAGTTATTGAAAAGATTTCCCCCCACAAACTCTGAGGTGGGAGGGATCGGAATGAGAGATGTTCGTGGACATGGACGTCCGTTTAATGAGAGAGAGGGATATGTGTTTGCACCTCCGTTTTTTATTTCTGGGCTGGTTTCTCTGTTGTATTCTCCACAAACTATTTCCAGGGTTATTACATTCATGGAAAACCTATCGAAATGTCAGGGAATTTGAAGAAAAAGTAAGTTTTATAGTAAAAATAAATGTTCCTGGTTATGCTTTCCTCTAAAATATTTTATTTGTTTGAATTGCTTTTTGTTTGTGCAATATGTAAAATAATTTAAAAATATATATATATTTCGTTTATTTAGTTTGAATTGTTTATTGTGTGTGAACCACTAAAAAAATATTTTTAAATCCTCATCATGTAATCACACACAACAGGATATCAGAAAACGTTAAGATCTGGAAACGTTGTGGAAATTTTTATAGTCAATATAAAATAGTCTTTGCTCTAAAATATTTCATCAGCTTGATTTATTTCTCGTGTGTGAATTTCTATATATATATATATTAAGTTCCTATCACATAATCACGTACAACAGGATATTAGTTAACTTTAAGATCTTGAAAAATAATGGTAATCGTGAAAATTTGTACTTTGCTCTAAAACATTTTATCAGCTTGAAATGCTTCCTGTGTGTAAATCACTGTACATTTGTTGTTGTTATTATTACACAACAGCATAGAATATTAAGAGTCATTAAAGTTTTTGAAGTAAAAAAACTAATTGGTCCAGGTATATTTCACTCTAAAGTATTTTATCAGCTTCAGTTGCTTCTTGTGTGTGAATCACTGTAAAATTATTATTATTATTATTATTTTTAAATCCTCATCATGTAATCACACACAACAGGATATCAGGGAATTTTAAGATCTGGAAAAGTTGTGGACATTTTTATAGTCAATATAAAATTGTCTAGTTATACTTTGCTCTAAAACATTTCATCAGCTTGATTTATTTCTCGTGTGTGAATTTCTATATATATATTTTAAAAGTTCCTATCATATAATCACGTACAACAGGATATTAGTTCATTTTAAGATCTGGAAAAAGAATGGAAATTTCTATGGTGAAAAATTTTACTTTGCTCTAAAATATTTTATCAGCTTGAAATGCTTCCTGTGTGTAAATCACTGTACATTTGTTGTTGTTATTATTACACAACAGAATATCATAGAATATTAAGAGTCATTAAAGTTTTTGAAGTAAAAAAACAAATTGGTCTAGGTATATTTCACTCTAAAGTATTTTATCAGCTTCAATTGCTTCTTGTGTGTGAATGACTGTAAAATTATTATTATTATTATTATTATTATTTTTAATTCCTCATCATGTAATCACACACAACAGGATATCAGGGAATTTTAAGATCTGGAAAAGTTTTTATAGTCAATATAAAATTGTCTAGTTATACTTTGCTCTAAAATATTTCATCAGCTTGATTTATTTCTTGTGTGTGAATTTCTATAAAATTTGTTAAAAAAAAAAAATTCTTATTATATAATCATGTACAACAGACCTGGAAAAGTCATGGAAATTTTTAGTCAATAATCATTTCTAGTTATATTCCACTCTAAAATATTGATATATAAAATCTTTCAGTTTTTTTTTCAATTTCTATAATCATTATAAATTTGTCTAGTTCAGGTTTCTCTGATTTTTTTTTTTTCAGAATTATATGATTAACAAAGTTCTAAAGAACTTATATTAATTATTTTGAACTTTCTGTTAATCAAATAATTCTGAAAAAAATCAAAGTAACCTGGATAGATAGATAGATAGATAGATAGATAGATAGATAGATAGATAGATAGATAGATAGATAGATAGATAGATAGAATTTATTGGATATTCTGTACAAAAAAACAGGCAAAAACTAATGCACAAAAACATCTGTTCAGTCATTATGTCAATATTTTACATCAATATTTGTAGTCGTAAGCACACTCTGAATTTCACTGAAGCACGCAATATATATATATATATATATATATATATATATATATATATCCCTGTAAAATTCTATATAATCACAGAAATCATGGAAATTTCGTTTCCTTCAGCATTAAAAATGTATGTGAAAATAAATCAAGCGTTTAAATTAAGCACGATTACGCTTTTTGAAGTTCCAGAAAGAACTTTTATTTCTATCTTTTAACTTGCCATTTGATGGGTCTTAAAGCAAAACCAGTTGTGATCTTATGAAACATCAAGAACAAAGAAAGTTGTTTGCTGAAGCTGAGGTGCTTCAAAGTGTTCACAGCCATCGCTTTCTCTTCTTTTATTTCAGCTCCTTTCTCTCGCTTCCATCCATATTGTCTTTCTTCTCTTTCTCTCATCCATCTCTCTCTCTCTGTTCCCCCTCCCCGCTCGGCCCCTCCATCTGCTGCCCCTCTCTGTTTCTCCAGAGCCTCACAATAGAGCCTCATGCTGGGTAATGGCTTAGTGTCTCATCCCTCTCTTTTGTGTGTGTGTGTGTTTTGTCTGCAGGTTGATGACGCGATGCTAATGTTTGACAAAACCACCAACAGGCACCGAGGTAAGGCGGCATTCGGGCGCGCACACATGCAAATACACACGCTCGCATTCAAAGCCTCGTTGAGTCATATAATTATACAACAGCAGTCAAGTGTCTACATGCTTCTGCAGTCATTCAGGAGCTGATGCTAGTCTCGTCTCGTCTCTTCTTGAACTTGAGGAATATTTTACTGCTCAAACGTTGCTCATTCATAACTCAGGAGACGTAAGCTTTAGTATCAACTTCGTCTCAGATGCTTCTCCTGAAACACTTGAAGAACTGAAAAAAAATCCATGTATAATATAAAATAAATAAAAGATGGAAACAATTCCCTTACTAAAGTCAAATTTAATTGCTGAAAGATTGTTTCTTTCATAACTCATAGGTTAGGAGGATTAATGGGGTTATATTTCCTTTATATTTTAATATCAGCTTTGCCTCAGATGCAGGAATATTTTATTGCACAAAAGTTGCACATTCATATTGGCATTCTCATTTATTTATACTTATGCTTCAGTATCAATTTTGTCTCAAATGTATGATATAAAAGATATAAACTAATATATAAAAGATGGATTAAATTCTTTAAAGTCAAATTTAATTTCTCAAAGGTTTCTCTTTCATAGCTCATAGTTAAATAGACAATGCAGTTATATTTCAATATCAACGTTGATATTTGATATCTTGACTGATCTCTAGAAATACTAGAATAAAGAGATCTTAATCATACTTGAGGAATATTTTACTGCAAAAAAGTTGCTAATTCATAACTTAGGAGAAATAATGTTCTCATTTATACTTATGCCTCAGTATCATAGTTCAGGAACCTTAATGGAGTTATATTCATTTTTTATTTATATTTTAAGTGTCAGCTTTGTCTCAGAAACCTCTCTTAATTAATGAATTAATTTATTTGTTGGAATTGATGTCTAGAAATAACTAGAATAAATCGAGGAATATTTGACTGCTCAAAAGTTCAGTATGAACTATTAACCTCACTATCTTTTCTATTTGAGAATTAAAAATAAAAGAACACATTTTCTGCTCAAAGGTTGATCGTTCATGGCTCATAGTTCAGAAGACTTAATGGAGTTATATTTCATTTAATATATATCAACTTCTCCTAAACGTGCCCTTGACACAAGTCTCAATATGTGTCTAGAAATAATATAGTAAAGAATAAGTATATATAATATAATAGTATATGTTATTTTATAGAATAGGAATATAATAGAATAACTCATTTGGGATTTCTCTTATACTTGAGGAATATTTTATAATACTTGAGTTCTCATTTATACTTCAGTTAAGCATCAACATTCATTTGGAGAAAAAAAAACAAGATCAACCAGATTTATGAAGAAAAAATAATTGCTCAAAGGTTGCTTTTTAATAACTTGATGAGATATTAGAGATCTTCTCTTCCCATCTTTTCTCTTCTCGTCAGTCTCCTCTCTATTTAGAGGCATTGCTAAAAAGTTCATGCAGGGTAATATGGGTTTGGTGCTGCTGAGCTGGTTAGTAGTTCAGAGGTTAAACCGTCATTCACTTTGGCAAGGAAAGTCTGACTGGCAGCCGGTGGGCGGAGCCTGTAGTGAGTGACAGATGAGTGGGCGGGGTCGAGTAGGACAGGTAAATGCAGCAGGTGAGGAGCTAACCTCCTGACAGAATGGACTGAATATATGAACAGATGGAAACAGAACAAAAGAGAATACAGAGAATGAGAAAGGATCGGATCGGATGCAACTGGACAAGATAAACACACTAGATTCAGTGTTTGAAAGCAATGCTATGTTTGTGATTGGTAAAGAGTGCATGTGTGTGCTTGCTCTGCAGGTTTTGGCTTTGTGACCTTTGAGAATGAAGACGTGGTGGAAAAGGTCTGCGAGATCCACTTTCACGAGATCAACAACAAGATGGTGAGAGTGTGTCCTGCTATGAAACACTGTCTGTATGTGTGTGTGTGTGTGTGTGTGTGTGTGTGTGTGCGTGTGTGACTGCGTGTTTAAAACACCTTTTTAATATGTTCATGATATGTCTCAAATGTTTCTCCTAAAATTCATTTGGAGAATGTCACACAAACTATCTATCTATCTATCTATCTATCTATCTATCTATCTATCTATCTATCTATCTATCTATCTATCTATCTATCTATCTATCTATCTATCTATCTATCATCTATCTATCTATCTATCTATCTATCTATCTATCTATCTGTCGTTCTATCTATCTATCTATCTATCTATCTATCTATCTATCTATCTATCTATCTATCTATCTATCTATCTATCTATCTATCTATCTATCTATCTATCTATCTGTACGTCTATATATAGATGTAAAATAATTTAAAGTAAATAAAAGTTTGAAATTTGGAAATTTAAATTACTAGGTTATCCAAAAATATGCATTATATATCAAATTCATTATGGCAATGTTACATGTACATAAAGTATTTAAATCACTGGATTATCAAAACAATATGCATTCTCTTACTAAAGGAAGTTTTAATTGCTCAAAAATGACTCTTTTATATAATTATATTTCAAGTTTCAACTTTGTCGCAGATGCTTGACAAAATACTTGATTGGTGTCTAGAAATTACTACAATAACTTGATGAGATATTAAAGAGATTTCATTTGTGATTTCTCTTGTTTCTTTACTTGAGGAATATTTTACTGCTCAAATGTCGCTGATTCAGACCTCCATGGACCTTATTGAGTTTCTCAGTTCTTAGTCATTTAAAGTGTCAACTTTGTCTCAAATGTCAAATTAATTTGAAGAAATAAAAAGTGAAGAAAAAAGATCCATAAAAAGCAAAAACAATCTGGGCTCAAAAGTTCCTCATTCATAACTCAGGATAATATAATTGACTTTTCATTTGTACTTATTCTTCAATATCACCTTCATCTCAGATGTTTCTTCTAAAACTCTTTTCAAGAATTAGAAATAAAATAAAAGATGGAATAAATTCTCTAATGGAAAATGGAATTGTATTTCATTTAAATTTCAATGTCGATTTTGTCTCAGATGCTTCTCCTAATTTTTTGTTTAAACAAATCTCGAAAAGTGTCTAGAATTAACTAGAATAACTTGATATTAAAGAGAACTCGTTTATGATTTTGAAGGTGGAGTGCAAAAAGGCGCAGCCGAAGGAAGTGATGTCACCGACGGGTACGGCGCGAGGCCGCTCCAGGGTGATGCCCTACGGCATGGACGCCTTCATGCTGGGTATCGGCATGCTGGGTGAGTAAGAAGGAACACACACACACACACACACACACACACACACACACATATATATATAAAAACATTTCATTTATTTACTAAAATGTGGCGATGCATAGTTTTAATTGATGCATGCAAACCAAAAGATTATTCATAACAAATGAATGTTCTGTCTGACATTAGTTCAGAAACAGCTTCACATTATTAAACAAAACACACAAAAACAGTCAAATGAACACTATAAAACCTATGGAACAGAATCTAAAGTGTGATTGGATGATCTGCGACATTGCACCCGTAAACAACTACACTTGGCTTTAATAACAAGCTCAGCTTGACTTATTAAAACTAATATCCATGCATTTGGCTCTAGCGCAGCATAGTAAAATGTTTTGCGTTGCATGATACCATCATACCGCACAGCACTAATACTAACCGTTGTGTGTTACGGCTCCATGTCTAACTAACTCCACACCTTAAGATCAGCGATCTAACCACGTCCTCCCGTTTCTCTCTCTTCCTTGTGCTTTTTGTCCCTCGTGTCCTTCTGCACCTCAATCTGTTCCTTTCCTTTCCTCCTGTGTAGCAGCTACACCCGGCTGTAAGTGCTTCACTGTGTGTGTTTCTGTGCTCATAGACATGTCTCTCCTCTGCCGCTTGAAAGCCTCCTTTCATGGTGTATGTCAGTGTGTTTGCGTAGATAGGACTACATGTGGAAAAACACTCACTGTGTGTGTGTGTGTGTGTGTTGGTTTTTTAGCTCTGAGCTTGTTTACGCTGGGTTTGTTCACAAACCGCTCTTTTGCCGTTTCTGTTCTAGAATTCCATTTAGAACGGACACCCCTTCTGACTTCCTCTCACCCCCCAGAGATCACAGGTTAGTCGCTCATCTAGCTTTACAAACAGCTCTCTGTGTGCAAACACACACACACATGAACACATAAACACACGGCTGCACACGAAACACACATGCTGCTGATTTTCCCGCAAGTTAAAGGTCTGAGAAAGAGCTGCAGTGTATCATTTCTGCAATGCAATCATGTGTTTTCAACCAGGTTTTCCTAAACTAGTCGCTGGTTGAGCCTTAAATTAACATGCAAGACTGCTTAAAGAGAGTAATGTTACAGCCAGCCTACAAAAGGTGCATATAGATTTTTCATTAAAGAAATTAATACTTTTATTCAGCAATGATGCATTTGATCAAAACTGACATTAAGGACATTTATAATGTTACAAAAGTTTTCTATTTCAAATAAGTGCTATTGATCAAAGAATCCTAAATAAACATTAGTGCGGTCAAACGATTAATCGCGATTAATCGCATCCAAAATAAAAGGTTTTGTTTACATAATATATGTGTGTATATTGTGTATATTTATTATGTATATATAAATACAAACACATGCATGTTTATATTTAAGAAAAATAGGTTATGTTTATATATGAAATATATTTTTATATAATATAAAAATAAGAATATAAATGTATATACATGTAAATATTTTCAAAATATATACTGTATGTGTATGCATTTATATATACATAATAAATATACACAGTACACACACATATTATGTAAACAATTTTTTTATTTTGTATGCGATTAATCATTTGACAGCACTAATAAAGATTTAGCACGGTTTGCACAAAAATATGAAGCAGCACAATTGTTTTCAACATTGATAATAATCAGAAATGTTTATTGAGCTGCAAATCAGCATATTAGAATGATTTCTGAAGGATAATGTGACACTGAAGACTGGAGTAATAATGATGCTGAAAATTCAGCTTTGATCAGGAATCAATTATATTTTACAATATATTTACATAGACAACAGTTCTTTTAAATTGTAATAATATTTCACATTATTACTGTTTTTACTGTATTTTTGATCAAATTAATGCAGCCTTGGTGACCATAAGAGATTTTGTTCAAAAAAATCTTACAGATTTGAATCTTTTGGACATTAGTATTTCTGTTCTGCTGTTTTCTATTCTATTCTATATTTATGGAAAATGAGTCACACAACAAACACCATAAAAAGGTGCCATGAGAAGTTTTCCAAATGTATTGCTTTTAGTGTTAAACAGGAAATATTTCCAAATCTATACCCCATGTTTCACTTTATACACTGAAGAAACGGAATATTCACAATTTGTAAATAAAAATCTTTATTCAGTTACATTTTTCTGGATCTCTGAGATTAAATCAGACTGGGTAGGTAAGGAAAAACAGCCAATATAATTTATTTTATATTTAAGTAATAAATATTAAAGTCTAGATTGAAGTGCCCCATTGAATTCCATTGAAAGTGCATTACTATTTATTTTGGGATGTACTATTACACTGTTATTTGTATTTTATTATTTGCATTTATCATTGTTTTTAAGTATAAGTGTTATTTCAGTCTTTACATCATATTGTAGTATTTATAAATATTAAAATTTTATATTAGCTTAATATTTTTTTTATTTAATTTTAAGTTTTAGTAATTTTGTTATGTGCTTTTCTCATTTTTATTAGTTTTAGTTTTAAAATATTTCTCTTTAGCTTTCTTTTTATTTTTTATTTTTGATTTTAGTACTTATTTCAGTTAGTTGCAAGGCAACATTTCAAATTTCAATTTTTTTTAAGTTTAGTTTTCATCTAATACTTTTATTTTATTTCAGTTAATGAAGATTTTCTAATAGTTTTAGTTAACAATAACAGCACTGCTAAGAACAGACCTCCTCCATTTTTTAGACTTATTTATATGCTGTAAATATTAGTTAAGTATTATTAATTTTTAATTTATATAGATTTTTTTTTCTATCTCTCTCCGTCCCGCAGCCATTCCACTGACGGCCTACGGACCAATGGCAGCGGCCGCAGCTGCAGCGATGGTCAGAGGTACGCAAGATCACATTTACTGACAGATTTTGAGATTTATTAAACTCTTTCCACTTGTAAAGCACTTTCTGAATTTTAAAACGCCTGTCCTTTACCGTAGGTTCCACCCCCTCACGTACCGCTGGCTTCCTGGGCACCAGCAGCCCTGGGCCAATGGCAGAACTGTATGCAGCAGCCAGTCAGGATTCAGGAATTAGCGGCTATATCAGTGCGGCAAGTCCCGCCCCCAGCACAGGGTTCGGACATGGACTTGGGGTAGGTTCAATCAGATATACAGACACACACACACACATTTAGAAATGTAACTTTATTGTCAAAAAGGACAAAAGTAATAAATATTAAAGTCTAGATTGAAGTGCCCCATTGAATTCCATTGAAAGTGCATTACTATTTATTTTGGGATGTACTATTACACTGTTATTTGTATTTTATTATTTGCATTTATCATTGTTTTTAAGTATAAGTGTTATTTCAGTCTTTACATCATATTGTAGTATTTATAAATATTAAAATTTTATATTAGCTTAATATTTTTTTTATTTCATTTTAAGTTTTAGTAATTTTGTTATGTGCTTTTCTCATTTTTATTAGTTTTAGTTTTAAAATATTTCTCTTTAGCTTTCTTTTTATTTTTTATTTTTGATTTTAGTACTTATTTCAGTTAGTTGCAAGGCAACATTTCAAATTTCAATTTTTTTTAAGTTTAGTTTTCATCTAATACTTTTATTTTATTTCAGTTAATGAAGATTTTCTAATAGTTTTAGTTAACAATAACAGCACTGCTAAGAACAGACCTCCTCCATTTTTTAGACTTATTTATATGCTGTAAATATTAGTTAAGTATTATTAATTTTTAATTTATATAGATTTTTTTTTCTATATCAAATAATATTTAAATTTTAGTCGAAGCTTTAGTGATTTTATGTGTTTTTTTGTATTAGGTTTTACATATATTTCTGCTTCAATTTATTTTTATTTCAGTTTTAGTTTTAGTAATTTTAGTATTTTAACTTAAACATATTTCAGTAAGCTGCCAGGACAGTATTTTAAATTTTTGCGCAAGTTTTTTAAGTTTAGGTTTTTCATCTAATACTTTTATTTTATTTCAGATTCTTTTAAATTGCAAAAAATTATTTTTTAATAGTTTTTGTTTTGGTTAACAATAATAACACTAATAAGAACATGCTGCACCAGAGATGACAACCACTGAAACAACTACACATTTTGAACACAATTTTATACAGAAAAATTGCAATGAGCAAAATGCTCATTTTTGAACCCCTCTTTTTCTCCTCCAAGGGTCCTTTGATTGCAACGGCCTTTACCAATGGCTACCACTGAGGGGCGTCCAATCAGAGTCCAGTGTGGGAGGAGAAACTCACGCACTTGTGAACCGCGAGCACCGCTGACGACGTGACATGCTTATGGGACGAACCCCATGGGCGGCTGCGGTCCCCCCTGACTCCGCTCTGGAGTTTCCACCTTTTCTTATTCTCTATTCTCTACTAACATCACTTTTCGTTTTCCTCATCCCGTATTTTCTTCCTGATGTATCCAACTCGTTTATGATATGCTGCCGTCTTTTGAAAGAAAAAAATGAAGAAAAAAAAAAAACAGTCAAAACAATATTGTTTGATTGTATGTGCGGAAACACGCAAGGAATTTCGTTTCCCCGGATTTTTATTTTGACAAGTTTTTCTGCATTTGTTATGTATTTTTGCTGACTGTGTTTTTATGTTTTTACTGTACTCATGCTGTAACGAGAAAGAGAGAAAGAGAGAGCACGAAAAAAAAAAAAAACAGGAATTGTTTGGTTTCAAACTAATCTAAACAACACAGAACAAATACGTGAGAATGAATCAAATTAACAAAAAACAAAACAAAACAAAAATTTTATATTTTGGTAGTTTTTACACAGCATTTATAATGTTATTACGAACATTCGTAAGCTAAATCGGTTATTTTTTCCGTAAAATTGTTTTTTACATGAGAAACATCGGGCCTCATTCATGAATTTTCTGCGTGAATCTGCATTCTTTTCAGATGTACGAATATTTGACACATTTTTACACCGAAATGGGTTCTGCTCATGTTGAGGCTCATTGATCGGCTTCTTTTTGTAGATACTGTACATATTGCATGGATTTTGGGAGGGTTCGGATTGAACGATGGACTGGGGGTTGCGGGAGGGTTGAGGGTCCTTAATGGTTTTTAACATGCAAACATCTTTCTTCACATTGAATCTTGCGTTTCTGAGACTAGTTTCATGACCAAGTTGGACCGATGGGGGTCTTTAGTTGTGCTCCTCTCACTTTCGACTCCATTTATACTACGATCAAACTTTTGATAATTTTTCGGACTAAATTGTCCAAATCAACAGACCTTTCGGTCGCTTTGGTCTTGTATGAATCCTCACGCTCGTGAATTTGAAACCATTCGGAAACCACGTTGTTTGATGTTTGCTGTCACTTATGAGGCGTCAAACCGCATCGCTGACAAACCAGGTTGCGTTCTCCATTAGAGCAAATGATTTGGTCCCGTTTTTGGGAAATGGAAACGCGGTCCTGATCCACCTCAGTTTCGAAGAGCACGGCTGCTGGGCTTCTCTTCATGCTGTTTTTGGAAATATATATTATATATATAATTTTTTTGCGCAGTGTACTTCTATTGTAAGCCTAAAACTTTCCCGTTCTCCTTTTTCTTTTCGTTTTTTGACGCTACAATGCTGTTTTTTGAAGAAATGAAGGACAAATTTACAAAGCAAAGGAGTCTGAGCGCTGTTCCACCTGTCGTTGTGTGTTGAGATGTGCATGTGTGAGTGTAAGTTGCGGCGACTGCTTAGACTGAAGTATGGATGTACACGTAGCTAGTTTACATGCATTCAACTGCCACCTTTGAAACTGTCTTGTCTCTGCCAGTAATGGAGAGGAACGTCTCTGACAACACAGCTCTAATGGAGGCCTTCTGGGAAAATTGTTACGCTTGACTAATAACACGCATCCAGAGTGATTTATTTAATTTGTTTTTCATTTCAGCAACATTGGATCTGTTTGATTTCTACTTAATTGCATTCGTTTTCAGTCTTCCATTTGACACGTGTAGCCTCTTTTTGGAGCAGTGGTCACGTGACGACCGAAACTCCAGCTGACAGGGACGCCTCACAAAACTACTGCACGGCACACACTGTAACTATTTAACCAACGAAAAGCAATAAGTTATTTTTAAACTCAAGTAATAATGAACGCTGTTAGTGGTGGTACGAATACGATGGCGGTTATGTGACATTAAGAATTATTTTTCAGAAAAAAAATGCTATATTTTTCAAGATCCGTTTTAACCCCTTGAAAGTTTCTCAGATTTTTACCGTACATGGTAGCTGTTTGTTTGGAGGATTTGTTGAAGGGGATCAGCGGCGGAACTGGAAAGCATCAGTGGGCGGCGCTCCGTCCCGTTGCTGTGGAGCTGCACGTCATCACTGTGACCTGATGCTCAAATACGCTGGTTCGCTGTCCCTTTACTGTATTTTTTTATTTTTCACCTCTGGAAATTTTCAAGTAAAAAGATCCTAATAAATTATTTTAAAACATTCCATTTGATGGCCTCTGTGTTCATGATTTTCTTTGAGGTTTGTTGCATTTTCAGGGAGTGTTAGCAGAGATTGTCATGGTTTGGTCATATGCAGAATGGATTGCGCTCTTCGTAATGTAAATTTGGTGTACAGTGGATAAGAGAATATGGATTTTGAATATGGAATGTTGTAAACCCTGAACATTTACACATTTCATAAAAACAGAATATAAAATAATAAAAAAAATATGGACAAATGTCAGAGTACTTTTTAAAGATTATATAATTAAAAATATTTAAAGATATATTAAAGTGTTGACACACGTGTATATGTGTATATAATTGTTTCAGAATAAAGTAATCAAAATTAAGGAATTATTAATAAAATAAAAAAAAATTATGCTTTTATATTATATTAAATGTTTTGTAAATATTTAAAAAAAATTAATTAAGGTTTCAATATTAACAGACCATGAAAAAAAAAACACTTTAAACAAAGTCAACTTTTTATATCAGGGTTATTATAGTTAACTAATGCTAAAACTAAAACCATAAAAAAAATCATTAGTTAAAATAAATGTTAACTGAAGTAAAATACAATTTTAAAAATCTTAAACTTATTGTATTTCAGCAAGAATAAGCTAGAAAACTAAAACAGAAAAATAAAAAAATAAATACGCAGACATTTAAAAACAACAAAAAACTGATAAAATGTCAAAAAATAGAACTAACTAAAATTGCAATGAAAACAGAAAATATACAAATAAAAGCCTACAAAAATGTAAATATTAAAAATATAATAGTACATCAGCAATACTAGAATAATATATTATCGTAATTATGCAATACTATAAATAATTATCAATAAAATAGAATTAATAAAGATAGATAGACAGATAGATAGATAGATAGATAGATAGATTATATAACCTTCTTTACATTTGTTTTGAATATTCAATTTCTCCAGTGTATAAAATAAATGATAAGGTATAGCTTTTGATACATTTTCTGTTTATACAAATTGGGAGGAACATTCACAGCACTAAAATCCTGAAAATGTTTCCTGCTGTGGTGCAAAATTCAATATTAGTAGCTATTTTAACTGCTCTCTAACATGTTAGCTAGAATGTACACATTTCTCAGCTGCTTTGCAACATTTAACCGTTTAATAACCATTGTTCATGAAGCTAGCAGGATTCCAGTGCACCAAGTAAACAAACAGGTGAAAAGACGTCCAAAATTTGATGACCAAACATCCAACACTTCAAGACATGGGAACAGACGTGGTTGATCTGCCCCTCTTGCTCTGTTATGTTCATCTCTGTCCCATAACACACACCTGATACCCTGTGACCCCAATACCACCCGATGGCCCCATGCCAAGCACACACACACACACACACACACACACAACACACACACTTTCTCACAATTTCTGCATTTGACTCTATTATTAGTCTAGTTTTGTGGGACCGTCCTGGTGTCATTTTACAGTTTTACATATTTGCCAAATATTAGTGTGATGTGGAAAATCAGAAAATCACACAAACTTCAACTTTGTTGACCTGGAATCTGTCCATGGGAAAGTGTCTCATCTCCCTGATCCCGTTACTCGCGGGTTCTTCTTGCCCAAACACCCTCCTGCCCAAAATACTCTTCATTACATCTTGTTTCCTGACAGCCTGCACAGTTCTCATGGAACCTAGGTGGATTTATTAATCTCTTTGAACTTTTCTAACCCGTTTTTCTCCACACTCGAGTATCTGTGTGTTATCAGAGTGTTCGCCTGCCATCATGGCGACGGGCGGCTCGCAGACGGACGTGAAGAGCTCTCTGAATGGGAGCATGGATATGCATCACAGCTGGTTCGGTTCTACGACTCCACGACCTCCTCTAAGAAACTACCTGCTTCTGACCATCCTCACCTGCTTCTGTCCGGCCTACCCTGTCAACATTTTAGCCCTGGTCTTCTCTGTAATGGTGAGTCAACAATCTGGACGCGTTTCCTGGAAACCGCTTAAGATTTTATCTGCGTTTATATTAATGCCTGCATGAAATCAAGGGCTTGTATTGATAGAACAGTTTGTGTCAAAGATTCCTTTATTATTAATTAAAGGTGCTGTATGTTTTTTTGACTAATGTGCTAATGTAAATATACCATAATAAATTTGTAGATAGGCCAATAAACATGCTAAATTCATATACTTGTCTCTCAGAACCCCCCCAATGCTACAACCAGTTATTCTGCTTTGAAATGTGTATTCCATGTCGGAATGTCTGTTTTTGTTTTGGTCTGTGTGATTCCGCCCACTGCTGAATTACCCAATAGGATTTTAACGCCCCCAGTTGAATACGTCGTATTGCATCCATGAAAACCTGAAAACGAACTCGCATATTCTACCTGACCTAAAAAAATCTCGGCATCCAACTAAAAAGCATATTAAAACACGGATTAATCAACTCATCAACTTGCAATGTAAAGCTCGTCGCCTTGATGCATGTCCTCAATCTGGCAACCCGCGCAAGCTTTGAGTCTGAGCAAGGAGTGGCGGAAAAACATCGCTCTTCAATATATTGATTTTGGACTGCTGTACCATTTTAACCGCTAGCTGTCAACATTACATACTGTACTTTTAATTTGATTTTGAACAAACTTGTATTAAATGCTTAATTTATTGGCCTGGTTTCACAGACAGGGCTTAGACTAAGCCAGGATTAGGGCATAGTTCAATTAGGACGTGCTTTAGAAAATAAAAAAAACATTACTGGTGTCCCTCTTGAGACAAAACAAAGGCATAGATATATTTTAAGATCAATCAGTGCTAGTTTCTTTCAGTTTAAACAGCTCAGACATTTTAGTCTGGGACTAGGCTTAAGCCTTGTCTGTGAAACCGGGGGACTATCTCTTTGTGTTATGAACATGAATCCCACTGTATTTTTTTGAAGTGCTTATTTGTTATTTGTTTAAGCAATCAGACAATTTTAATTTAGCACCTATGATAAAACAGGAAATAAATAAAATATAAATAAATAAATAGCCATCCAAAGCTAGAGACCAGAATATCATCACCTACTACAACTCCTTACCCTGATAGCACAAATACATCTCAGAAACGTCTTTTTGATGTGCGTGTTTACATCTGTAAGTCGTATTTTTTTTAGTGTTTGCTCATTTGCAATACGTCTCTATAGGACATTTCCTGTTAGATGTCAAATAGACATTATAATTTAGAATGTATGTAAAACTGACATCTTAAAGATGTTTATCAGATGTTTGTACACAGCAGATGCTTTCCAGATGAAGCGGTCTTTAACAGACATCTTGTCGATGTAGGTGTGCTATCTGGGCAGCAACTGCATGCAAGACTAAAGATAATTGTTGGTTTGATTGCTGATATTAGTTTGACTGGATGAACACACACAAACACACACCACAAAGAAAGAGTGAAAAGTTTGGTCGTGTCTCTAAATATTTGAATCTGAATGTATCTTCTGTCTTTTATAGTCCAGAAGCAGTTATGATCAGGGGGATTATGAGGGTTCAAGGCGTTTAGGGAGGATGGCGCTCTATGTGTCCATCGCATCCATCATCATCGGCATCCTCATCATCACCATCTTCTGCGCTGTGCATTTCAGCACGGTAACATATTTAACATTTTAATATATTTTCCCCATTTTTGATGGCATTTAAATTGGTTAATGAAATGTAAATATATCAATCAAATACAATGACTGAGGCTGTAATGCTACAGGAACAGATCTGGAAAATCTTTCTCTGATTTCTTTGTGTTTCTGTTTCTTTAGAAGGACGTGTAAGATGACAGTATTTTTGTCGTGCTGTGCTCTGGGTGAAGAATGTCGACTGGGTCGCTCTGTCTGTCGAACTGAACAGAGATTTTAGTAATGAAACCAGGAGCAGAACAGATCCAGCACAGGACATCAGCACTCCTCCATCTGAAGTCCAGCTCTGAAGGAACATGCTTATATAAAAGAGAGGTAGATGAAAAGTTATGCCATTTTTGTCAAGAATTTTTTTCAGACAATCACAATGTATGCACTTTTAAATCACTGAATAATATGCATCCATGCACATAATGAATATGTAAATAATTTTGTAACCCATGCATGTCTGTTCTTTTTCTCTTTTTTGTTTGCAATCCTGTGTTGAAATGTACAGCTACAACAGTTTCAGGGTTGAATTTCAATGCAAACAATGATTAATAATGACCTTAACTAGTAAATATCATTACAACACATCACACTGTTTACAGCCTTCAAGTCTTAAAAGCTCTTATAAATTCTGTAAAAACTAATCATGGACATACTGAATATGTAAATATTATTAATGTTTGGTGCTTAAAGTTTTCCTCTGCCAGTAGATCATGAAAACAATGAAAGGGGTCTTAATTTTTATAACAACCTAAGCTTTTTTTCCTTTTCCTAAATACTGATTCTAAGTATTTGAGTTTAAAATGGATTCATGCAGGCTATTTAATCTAGTATTGTAGAGATGTTTGTGTTTTACTGAATATTTTACAAATGAAAATGACGCTAATTCGGAATTGCATGTTTTTGATGAACTTGTCCGTATTAACTAATAAAGTTCATTTACAAAGCACCATTCATACAAAGCTGAAATATGTCATTTTTGCATCACTAATGCCATTGCATGAAACTGCCATACAACGGTGTGTGGAATAATAATAATAATAATAATAATAATGCCAATTTCCAAACAAAACAGAAGCAAAAGTGTTGCATATTTTTTTTGCATCTTTGAACAACTTCCATAAATATGGATTACAAAATGAGATTCACATTGACTTTAAAGTTGATCTAATATCAGACTTATACTTATGTAGGCCAAATCAGATCACCAATGGAAGTGGAAAATGATAGCATTATATTAAGATTAAGGCTATTGACCCTTATGTATTTTTCTATCTCCCCCCGACCCTTTAATCTTGAAGCCAGGTGTATTTGGAGATGTGCATTCAGCCCTCATCTGTGCTATATATAGTGTTGGGTCTCAATCCCGCGGTGGTGTCAGGGGCCTCTCGTTATCCCAGCGCGTTCAGGCCAGCGGGGTCACATGACACGGGATAGCTGGTTTAGCACTGCCTGTGCTGAAAAACACAAGGCTGAGTTAGAATGTGAAATGTGTTATGGGACATCAGAGGCGGCTCTGCCCTCACTAGGTCTGTTGTCTCCTTCGGATAAAGAGCTTGTTGTAGGCTATTCCTCATTTAAAATTCACTTTGGATAAAAGCTTCTGCTAACTTAAGAAATGTAAATGTAAATATGGATGTAAATTGCCTTTATCTGCAGTACAGAGTGTGTTGTTCGCAGACACAAGAACGAGAGAACTTCAGGGATCTTATCTATGCACAATCAGCTTGTAACACTCCAAAGAGAAAGAAAAACTTGAAATCGCATCATATGACCCCTTTAAGCAGTCGTCCATGCATTAAAGCAAAAATGCACTTGAGGTCATGTTATATAGCTCTGTCCAACCCGAAGTGTTTTTTGAATAGCGTTGTCTCCTGCTGGTGGTGATGTATTAAACAACATCCAGTGACGTCAGAGTTGCATTATGTCATTCATAAAATAAAGGCAATTTTAAGGCCTCATTTTTGTAAAAATGAACAATACAAATAATTACAGTCATAAAAGACTGATCGCCTTGATCTTCATCTTCATCGTTCTCCAGAGGAATTATAACAAATGCTGTGAAGATCTTTTCCCAAATCTGTTAGATTCGGGATGAGCTAAAATATAAAATAAAATTTATTTTTTATTTAACTCTTTTCATGAACCTGTAGCAAGTTCACATTAACTAATCTTATTTTTGGCCTAACTAGTGACTAATCATTGCAAAAATTGTCATCAATATTTATTTATTTGCTACAATTTCATTGCAGTATTTTTATTAACAAGAAAGTTATAGCTGTATTACTATTACCTGCAGATGTCATCTAAGCACAAAACACAGATGTCAAGGGCATACTTCCAGCTGAAGCAGGAACAACAGCATTCCTTAAACCAGCCACACTTATTCCTTCATGAAGCAGTAGTTTTGGTATCTCTGATGACGAAGACATGTGCATTCATGATTGCAATTCTCCCTGCAGATCTCACACGCTTCTCTGCAGCACCCGCAGCTCATTCTTTATAAAGCCTGGAACCCCTGGCATATGAAATAATAGTTAGAAAAATCTAGTCAGTTTTTATTTTTTTTAAATAAAGTTTGTATATGCATTTTCGTTGAGCATTATATCTTATACATCATGCTTTTATGACTCATATGATATAGTGGAGCTCAAATTTGAGGAGGAAAAAACAGCTAAACTGCATTCAAATAATCACAATTGAAATGCAAATTCTATCCATATTGTGTCCAAAAGTATTGGCAGTACTTTTTTGTTAGTGAAAGACGGATTAGGTGTGTGTGTGCGTGTGTGTGTGTGTGTGTGTTGATCAGGAGAGATTATCTGTCCATGCATTAGAAGTTTATCTGAGGTCGGGTGACTCTAAATGGGAAACAACACATGCTAGATGTTTTGTTTGTCATGTGACTTATTTTGGGACACTCTGTTATGTCACTTGTCTTTGTCAAAGACAAATCATTTTAAATAATTGTAAACATAATTTATGTCATATCTGGACATGGGTCATTAAAGAATATAAAATAAACTAAACTTTAACCTGCTGAGTTTTTAGACTGAAAATAGCCACATATATGGCCTACTTATGAAAAACACATGGGGAGAAAGAGAGATTACTGCATTTACGTCATAAAAACAGAATAAGCGCAGAGAATGAAACAAAGGGCGGGGCGTAAAGCGCGGAAGTTGTCTCTGGTTGAAGTGAAGTGACGTGACATGTGGCCAGGTATGGTGACCCATACTCGGAATTAGTGCTCTGCATTTAACCCATCCAAAGTGCACACACACACCATGAACACACACCCAGAGCAGTGGGCAGCCATTTATGCTGCGGCACCCGGGGAGCAGTTGGGGGTTCGGTGCCTTGCTCAAGGGCACCTCAGTCATGGTATTGAAGGTGGGAGAGATCGCTGTACATTCCCTCCCCCCACCTACAATCCCTGCCGGTATGAGACTCGAACCCACAACCTTTGGGTTACAAGTTCGACTCTCTAACTATTAGGCCACGACTTCCCCCAACGATAGGCTATAGGCGATAGGCGATAGGCGATAGGCGCTAGGCGCTAAATAATTATAATTCTGTTTCACCTCTTTCCCATTGTTTTTAAATAAAATATCCATTAAATATATCAAATGTCACTATTCAGGTGTAAATTAGACAAGACGGTAAATTGCATGGTAATTTGTCACAATTATTTATGGTAACTTAAAACATATGATTTTTTAAAATAATTTCAAAAGAATATTCTCGTATCATGTCATATTAATACTTTTAACTTTCCAATTAGTGACACACAATAATTCAACAACACACAAAAAACGTGTGGTTTAATTGTGAAGTTTCGGTTTTATGAGCCATCGAGCGCCCTCTGGAGGAAGAACAGGAAACGTCCTCTAAATAACAGTGATTAGCGAGTTTTATCCACTCAAACGCACACAACAACAGTGTTGTCAACACACATAGAGGGAAACACGGGCAAAGAGAGTCGAGAGGAGCTGAAGTCAGTGCATCTGCTCCTGAACTCCTCTGTCCCAGCATGGCTCTGTCAGGATCTCAATCACCGGATGATGCTTTGCACGGTAAGACATCCGCATATCTACATAACACTGCTTAATTGTTATAACCTGTGATTATATATATTTATATTATATATAAGCCTATTTATGTTTATATATATATATAAAAATTATGTTATTTTTAATTCGATTGTATAGCCACAGTATATAACTGTACAGCCTATAAAATTAATTTACAATTAAATTGTTTTTTTATAAAGTAAAATAACACGAATGCACATTAAATATTTAAAATATATTTTTAAATGTAATAACCAAATAAGTTGGGCTACTTATTGTAAAAATAATTACAATGAAAGACTATTGATCTTGAATAGTATTTTTTGTACTTAGAATGTTCTATCTGTCTGTTTTTATTTTGCTGTGCCACTGTTTTTGTCTGTATTGTTATGTAAATAGATTCCATGACTGGCCTGTTTTGTCTCTCTCTAAGCCAATTACTGTGAAGAGGGCTAACAGCTCTTATAATTTGATCAGTAGCTTAAACTGTCCGCAGGGGAAAACGTGAGAACAACAGTGTTTGCAGAACACAGATTCTTCATAAAAACAAATCCCAGGCATTATCATTCATAAAGCACACAAAAGCATGCGCATTCTCTCATCCACACTCACAGCTTGATATTATGCTCTGTATACGTAACACGCGGCCCTCGTCTGTGGTTATGTCACAGTTCCACATGCTGGAGAATCTGGGGCAATGGCACAGTCCCTCCTCCCTCCACTGCAAAACCCCTGTCTCTGAACAACAAACCCAAAATGACCAGGAAGGGCAGAAAGAGAGGATGCTCAAGGCATGGGGAAAGATGATAAAGGTCAGAATTAGAAAGAAGACAGGGAGGGAGGGAGTGAGAGAGAGAGAGAGAGAAAGAGAGAGATGTGACTGGCTAATCTCTGACAGAAATAAAATGCTTATGTAAGCAAGCTCTTGTTTGGGCAACAGTACTGTATCCTCATGACCATGTGTCCATGTCAACAATCAGTGTGAGATAGATAGATAGATGGACAGAACGATATACAGGTAGATTGAATGATAGAATGATGGATAGATAGATGGATGGATGGACAGAACGATAGATAGACAGGTAAACAGAATGATGCATGCAAGCCTTGTTGTTTTACAACCTCTCTCATCCACTACTTGTCAAAGACAATTTTTAATCCAATCATTTCCCATTGGGTAAAATCAAGTCCTGTTCTGCATTGAATGTCCAGTTTTACCTGGAAATATATCACAATATGGAAACAAGATGTGTTGACTTTAACATATAAATTCACATAAATTCATTTTGTCACAGAGTGCTCAAACTGAACCCATTTTATTAATCCAAGTCTGTGTCTTTCACATGTCCGTCAGGCTCTTGGGTGGAGCTGGAGGGTCTGGTGGCTTCTGCAGGTCAAACAGAAGCACAGGACACCACAGCCTCCTTCCTGCAGGAGGAGCTGGAGAGGATTCTGCTGGAAGCTCAGCTGGAGTGCGAGAGGAGTAGTCAAACAGAAAGGTGTGGAGCTGCTGAAGGCCTGTGTGAGCTTTTTCATTTGAACCAGTGCACCTGGAAGTAAACAAATCTGCTCTTAGGAAAGAAAAATCACAAATAAGAATCTTTCTTTTCTGTGTTTCTCCAAGACACCAAGCTGTGTGTTTGACACTCATACCACACCCAATATTAAATATCTAAACATTTCTCTAAATATTAGTAACATTTCACATACACGTACCTCTGAAGTGTACTGCCACAACAATTTTGTCTGGAAAAACGTGCATATTGCTAAAGACTTCATTGCAAACTTGTTTGGGGCACATGTGGGGATTTTAGTCAATGTTTTTTTTTTTTCCCATCAGTTTCTAGCATGTTTAATGACTGATGAGTGATTACATACCACAAATTATCAACCTAAAAGCACGTTCAGTGAAGTAAAAGATAATGCATCATTGCTTTCCATGCTTGGTTTCTGAGGGTTAATAAGCCTGCAGTGTAAAACTGTTGTTCGGTCAGGACCACTATCATCAAAATGATAGATACTTAGCATAAAGTTTGGTTTGGCGGTATGGTTCTGTTCTGGGAAAAAAACTCCCTGCCCATCCATGCAGCCTGTCATGAATGAGCAGGGAGAGCAGCAATAATAACCCCCCGAGGGTTAACATAACAGAACAAGACATATATCATTAATGTACTTAATGATATTTAAATGTAACATTTTATTCAAGATAAAGGAGTCTGATTAGCAAGGAATATCAGAAAGCCAAGTCCTGACTGTGGCGAAAGGAGGAGCTGGGGATGGAGGAGGGTAATTTGCTCCGGAGCAAGCTGAAAAGCTGCTGAATAATACTGAATAGAGCTTATATAGGAATGCCGCGATAGGTGTCGTATTCCTATAGGTAGATGTGATCAGCTGAGAATCAGCTGATGCAAGCTTGACTCACGTGACCTGCCAGAACTAACGCTAACGCTGAATTTTTATTAGGAAAATGTCACATTGATTTAAGCATATTTTTGCTTATTACCTCAATTTTGCTCTGCAGGTGAACAGCTTAACCAGCACTTTGGTGGTGTGTTCATTATCTGGCTGTTTTGTATGCATGTCTGTTTATGTTTTGATGTCAAAACTGGGGAAAACATGAAAATGTAATACTTGTTTGTTTTTATGCAGTCTGTCATGAATGAGCAGGGAGAGCAGCAATAATAACCCCCCGAGGGTTAACATAACAGAACAAGACATATATCATTAATGTACTTAATGATATTTAAATGTAACATTTTATTCAAGATAAAGGAGTCTGATTAGCAAGGAATATCAGAAAGCCAAGTCCTGACTGTGGCGAAAGGAGGAGCTGGGGATGGAGGAGGGTAATTTGCTCCGGAGCAAGCTGAAAAGCTGCTGAATAATACTGAATAGAGCTTATATAGGAATGCCGCGATAGGTGTCGTATTCCTATAGGTAGATGTGATCAGCTGAGAATCAGCTGATGCAAGCTTGACTCACGTGACCTGCCAGAACTAACGCTAACGCTTAATTTTTATTAGGAAAATGTCACATTGATTTAAGCATATTTTTGCTTATTACCTCAATTTTGCTCTGCAGGTGAACAGCTTAACCAGCACTTTGGTGGCGTGTTCATTATCTGGCTGTTTTGTATGCATGTCTGTTTATGTTTTGATGTCAAAACTGGGGAAAACATGATAATGTAATACTTGTTTGTTTTTAATGAGCTGATTTTTGATAGTTTCGCTTATGCTGCTGACCTGCTTCTCAAATGTTTCATCAGTGCCTCCTACAGAGTTTCCAGTGAGATCTCAACAACGTCTTAAACGGCATGTACTCTGCAGTTAAAAGACATTTCAATATGAACTTAAACAAAAGATCTGAGCTGCTTACATTCATTTTATAGCTCTTTCTCTGTTACTGGATCTCGGCAATTTACTCATTTATATCACCTGAGACATTTTAGGAGAAACATCTGAGACAAAGCTGATACTGTATATGAGAACTCCAGTTTCATGAACATTAAATCATCTGAGTGTGTATGTGTGTGTAGGGGAGAAATTACAATGCATCCAGTCTTCGGTAATTATTTTGCGTGCAACTCTTATAACACAGGTTTCCTCTCTGAATTCAGTCCTCCGCAGGTCGTGACCCCTAGAACATCTGGATCTCCCAAACCAGCCAGTGAGGGCAGCAGCAGCACAGATTGTGTGACTATACAGGTAACAGACACCTGAGGCACTGCTCAGTGTATGTTCGTTCCCACAATATTGCCAAATAACACACACTCACACAGTCTCTGCACTGTTTGTCTTTCAGTCGGATGAGAATGACAGGCGAGTGAGTGCTGAATGGGTGTGGGATTGGTCCAGTCGGCCAGAAAACCTCCCGCCCAAGTAAGATTTACCTTTCATTCATACTTTCATTCAGGTGTAGCCTGTGTTCTTAAATCATGTTAGTTTCTTCAGTTCACCTTCAAATGTAATAAAGGCAGTTGATAGAGAAATTGTAGATAATTAGTAAATGTATCAAGTTTTTACTCAGGTGTCTGTGATATATAATGGAACTGCAGAGGTTTTGTATAAGTATATGCCATATAAATAAAAAATGTGCCATAGACATAAAAAACACTGACCCCAAGCTTTTGAACAGTAGTACATTTTTCTTCTGCTTCACAGTACGGAGAATTCTGATATATGAGCTTAATTTCCTTTAAAATATTGTCACAATATGAAAAATATTAATGGTCCTAAATTTAAATTACAATTTTTTTTGTTCTTTTGATTTTGGCATGCAATATTGGTTTTGTCACACATCTCATGTTCATAGATGGTTCATGTAATTAATTTGAGTTATGTAGTTTTATTAGACCAGAACACAGTTGAAATAGACAATAGTAAAGATGGAAAAAATGTTGAGTTATTTATTTATTTTTGCACATGATGGCAGTTTGCAGTCCTAGATAAAATGATGCAAATACATCATGAACACCATATGGCATTATGGGTAAAAATAAATGAGGTGTTCTTGTGTGCTGAAGTGTCCTTTCAGAATGCTTCACAGATTGCCAGGTCTTGCAGTGGAGCGTTTTACCTCCTGCATAACTCTGCTTAAATCTCAGAGAGGATCATTTAGTCGCCACACAAAAATAGCTTGTGCGCCACACCACGAGTCAGCGAATCTGAGCCTCGCTTGTGCGGCGTTTAACGAGAGGATGAGTTCACTCTCTAGAGGAGAAAGTTCTTAATGCACGTATCATTCCAGCTAAAACCTTGTCACAAACTTTTTGAATTGCAACGTTTAATGATGTAGGATTGCAGATTGTAGCAATAGAGACTGCTCCGATATCATGATGCCATTACAAGCAAAAAGCTTTGAGAAAGCATAAAAAGCTTCACTTTGTCAATGCCAGTTTTCATGACGGTGCATATACACACTTTGCAAATATACATCTTGCTGGAAAAACATTTCAAAGGTTATTTGAAATCAATCTTTAGAAATAGAGCTGATGTACAGTCATTTAGTGTCCATCCAGATGTTTGTATTGCTTTAAAAAAATCTTTCACATTAAAGACCTTAGTCAGGGTCATATATAGTATATAGTCTATATATACTATATAGTCATATATAGTTTATATATATATATACTTTCTCTGGAATGATCTGGAATATATATATATATATATATATATATATATATATATATATATATATATATATATATATATATATATATATATAATATAAGCTTAATGCACTTATCAAAATAACAAAAACAGTCAGAATTGTTGTTTTAAAACTCTTCAAAATGCATTGTAACTTACAGTCTGCAAAGGAATGGAAAATTTTGTTCAAATACTCCATTTAATATCAAAGAACTTTTCAAAATAAGCAAAATCTGCACATTTCTGTCACTGTTTGGATGTAGTAAAACACCCACAGATGAAAGAGAAAACATCTGTGCTTATGTAATGTCAATAACCAATATTCTAACCTTGAAATTCTTGAAAACCTTGAATAACCATAATTCTAACCTTGAAATTGGGCATTAAATGTATTTAATGTACAGTATGCTGTTTTCAGAATCATTCATGCATGCAGAAGAAGACAGAAATCATGTCTTTGTGCAGTGTTTCTACTAATTAATGCATAATACTAGACTTCTTCACCTTACGAATGGTTGTCATTCTGTTTGAGAAAGTGTGGGCAAGTTATCGAGCAAAACAGCACCCCAAAATTAGTAAGAAACAAGTATTGGGGTTTATTCAGCTAATATGATGCAGGATGGTTTAAGCTGTTGTAACCATACTTCTAAATAGCAAATCTAAAATATTTCTAATATTCTGTTTTCACTTTGTCATTATGAGGTACGGAGTGTAGATTAATGAGAAAATTTTTTATTTAAACAACTGTAGGATCAGGCTGCAACATCACAAAATTGAAAAAAGTGAAGGGGGGTCTGAATACTTTCTGAATGCACTGTATGCTTGCATTCCCGCATTTGCATGAGGCAACAAGCTTTATATGATAGGATAGATGAGATTTAAATTGGGATTACAATGCTGAATTTGGCTTAATCTGTTTCAGAGAAATTTAGCTTAAAACACCTTCAGGTTCACCTGGTGCACGCTCGGTAAATTATCCAGCCTGACAGGATGTTTGTTTCAAAGGCATCCATCAAAGGCATCCAAAGTGCATTTTCAATTCAACTTCCCTGAAATTATGCTGATAATATTGTGTAATCAGAATTTTGTATTAAAAGCCATGCAAAATAGGCTGCATTGACTGCACTGTACAAATAAACTTGGATTGAATATTTTATAGTCTCTAAGCTTTAAAGGGATAGTTCACCCAAAAATGAAAATGTGATGTTTATCTGCTTACCCCCAGGGCATCCAAGATGTAGGTGACTTTGTTTCTTCAGTAGAACACAAATGATGATTTTTAACCCAAACCGTTGCAGTCTGTCAGTCATATAATGGAAGTGAATAGGAATCATGGCTTTGAGAGTCAAAAAAACATACACAAACAAAACCAAATTAAACTCTGCGGCTCGTGACGATACATTGATGTGTAAAGACACGAAACGATCGATCTGTGCAAGAAACTGAACAGTATTTATATCGTTTTTTTACCTCTGATTCACTGCCATGTCCGAACTGTGCTGAGCACGTTCTCAACAGTCGGCGCGTGACGCATCTTCTTCTTGCTTTACGGCAGATCGCACACTTATAAGTGCATTACCGCCACCTATCTCTCAAATGGACCATTGACACTCTATCTACAATCTCAATTAGGAGTGTCAATGGTCCATTTGAGAGATAGGTGCCTTTTTTTTTTTTCTTTTTTTTTTTACTGTCAAAGCTGTGATTCCCATTCACTTCCATTATATGACTGACGGACTGCAACGATTTGAGTTAAAAATCTTCATTTGTGTTCTACTGAATAAACAAAGTCACCTACATCTTGGATGCCCTGGGGGTAAGCAGATAAACATCAAATTTTCATTTTTGGGTGAACTATCCCTTTAATGCATATGTACATATCTAGATTATATTGCTGAATGACCCTGATTGATCTCTCTTTCTGTCTTTAGGGAGTTTGTGTTTCATCACCCGAAGCAGTCTGGCTCTCTGAGCGTGAGGAAGACTGAGGTGATGAAGAGGGGTTTGTTTTCTTCAGATGTGCTCCTCATCCTCCTGCCCTCTCTGCTCGCCTCACACGCTCTGACGCTGGGTCTGGGGTGAGACTTTTCTTATATTTCATCATATTTTCTTTTTAATATCACTGCAAATCTTTCGCTTTAAGACTCCACAGGAAGTACGTGAGGCCAAATGTGTCAAATGTGTTTATCTATGTATAAATAGTCTATATATATTGCCTTTTGTGCATTTCAGTATTTTGCAGAATTCAAGGTAATCTGCATAAATAAAAGCATAGGGTTCTGTGCATGTATGGCCCAGAGAGCCCCATTGAAGTCAATGGTTTTTCCACTGATTTTAAATCAAAAGATGATTGATGTTGACTTGGAAAGAGCCTTTAAACAGGCCTTTTCGATCCCATTATGAGTATAATATATACTCTATGTTCAAAAGTTTGGGGCTTATAAGATAATTTATTTATTTAAGTTTCGAAGTCTCTAATGCTCACCATGGCTGCATTTATTTGGTCAAAACTAGAGATATAAAGTGAAAAATCTGTTTTCTATTTCAATATATTTTAAAATACAATTTATTCCTCTGATGCAAAGCTGTTTTTTCAGCATCATTCCTCCAGTCTTCAGTGTCACATAATCCTTCAGAAATCATTCTAATATGCTGATTTGCTGCTCGAGAAACATTTATTATTGTTATCAATGTTGTTATCAAAACAGTTGTTGTGCTGCTTCATATTTTTGTGGAAACCATGATATATTTTTTTCAGGATTCTTTGATTAATAGCAGTTCAAAAGAACAGTATTTATTTGAAATAGAAATCTTTTGTAACATTATAAGTGTCTTTTACTTTTGAAGTATTATTGCTTTCTTTCAAAAAAAAAAACTTTTTAAATGTGGCTTCTGTCCCATCTTTGCCCGTTGCAGCCCCCGAGTCCCATAGGCCTGTGCTTGCAATAAATCACAGACAATTGAGAAATGTTTATGCTGTTAAAAATCTCTAAAATGTTGTATTGAGTCATACAAATCCAATTTTTGACTTCCATTTTCATTACAGGCATTGATGTTACCTACAAAAGAGCTTAAATAAGAACTCAGATGCTGTCTGACAGAAGACAAAAGATGACAGATTATCTCTTTCTTTCTATTTCTTACTTTCTTTCTCAGAATATACATAGGGAAACGGCTGGCATCCTCCTCCACCTGCACACTGTGACGTGACATTTGGCAGCTCACCGATTGGCTGAGGCCGCTGCCATTAGCACTGCTGCCCAATCACGCCTCTCTTCTCCTCCTGTGATGGGCAACAGCCTCTTCTGCCTCTGTCTGTGTTTGTCCTGTTTCACCACAAGACTCTCTTTCTCTGTCTCCATGTATTTAAAGGGGTTATAGCTATCATGAGGAATCAAATTGTCCTTGATATTTTTAGATAAAAGAGCCTGATGTTCCATGAAAGTATACGTTTCAGAATGATATACATTTCAGAACTCAAAACTTTCTTACCAAAAGGAGTATTTATTGAAAATAGGCTATAACGACTTATTCTGAACTCCTCTGAAGACGTAAATTTAAGATTTATGTATTTGAATTGCACATAAAGTTATCATTAGTTTGCATTAGTTTTTAACTTAATGTGATGTGTATGTTTCAGTCAAACATGAATTGAAACCAGCAAGATTTCTATAATTGTACTAAACTGAATGTGTTAATACACAATTACCAGTTTTATATATTTATCATCAATAAATCCGATTTGTTTCAATCTCATACATTCTGACTAAATGAATATTGCTTGTTCCATAGCTAGCCATATTTTAACCATGTATATACTTTTTAAGTGAATCAATTTAATTGTTTGAACAGCTTTATGCTGATTCTAAGCAATTTGAATACATTTTGAAAATATGATTGTTTAAATAAAATAGATGCAGAGAGTGAATAATAAAATAATAATGAAGTGCAGAAATCTTAACTGTTTCTTAGCCATTTCAGTTATGTATGGCTGACAAATAATCAATATCACATTAAGTTTATTAGTTTTTTTTGTCAAAGCTGTGTAACCCAAATGAACAGAAATTTTATATGCAATTAAAATACATGAATATTAAATACTTAAAAATTAGGCCTAAATATTTTTGATGTCAGACTGATTAATACGTTATCACATGATTGACCAGAAGAGTCAAAACAGGTCAAAACTGTTCATGCAAAGAAAATTAGGATTGCTATTTCTGCACAAAATTATAAGTGGAGCTCAGGGAAAACGTTATGTATGATATGACCCCTTTAACCCCATGAGAGTGTCTTTTTAAGACTCTAAATCTTTTTGTAGTTAGGACTGTGTCCACATGCGTGTCAGGTCTAATACAGTACAATTACTACAGGGAACACAGAAACAGTAATGCACTGAAATTTAGCTGAAAGAGTGTAAGAGAGGAGAAAACTGACAGTGAGCGAAGCAAATCAAATGCAAGACATACATGCAGTTTGAGACGGAGTTTAGTCTTGGATAGTGTATGACTGAATCCTTTCGTGTTTGTGTGTGGAGCAAAATAATGTGAAAAATCTCATGTTGCAGTAACGTGTTTGAGATATAGATCCATTCCATGTTGTAATGTGAAGTTAACTGGAGTTCATCAGGTTATCTGGTCAGATTAATCTTGTTTGTAACGACTCTACCACAATAAATGTCACTCTTACCACCTTCTGCTTGGTCTGGTGTGTAAAAATGAATGTAGATGTAGATCTATTGAAAATAGATGTGAGGCTTTCACCTTTAACTAAAAAATACAGAACATTACCTTGTTTTATTGAGCGTATAATCTTTAAAGTAGCTTGGAATAGAAATGCCATGGTAAAGGAATATGATAATTATGGGTAGTTATACAATATAAGTGACTTGAATTTGGCTATGAATTTGTATTTGTCACCATTTCTTTTTTCACAAGTTTTTAGTCACGTTTTTCCTTCGTAGGTGTATTTCAGTGGGCCTGTGATGTGACAATTGAATTTTTAAAAATGCTAATATTTTATGTATTCAGTGTTTCATATCAGCTTCCCATATAGCAAAATATGGTGATATTTCCATCTGATACCTTTACTGTTTATAAAACAATGAAACGAGACAAAATACACATTTAAGATGCATTGTCAAAAATAAAATAAAAAAGCTCATGTAACACAGCAGTGTGATTCCCAGAATATACAGCAGAGGGCAGAAGTGCTCTGTGCACTGCATTGCAGTTGATATGGGTGTTATGGCAGAGCTCTACATATTTATTCTTTAGAAGAAGATGTGTTCCTAATTTAAAATATTTAGAAACACAGTCAGAAATTTAGGAGCACCTTCTGATTAATGATAGAAATGTATTTTCCCATTATGGGGAATTGAGGATTTATATTTTCAGTTTTAAATTAAATCCCAGGGTCTTTTTTTCTTTACCTTTTAATTTAATTTAATTTAATTTAATTTAATCTTTAGGTAAATTTAACCTAATTGACCTTTTATAGGGGCAACCTTATTAAATGAGTCATTTTTTATGTCAGACTCTTACATTTAAATGAATAAATTGTTTTAAAGATTTTAATTAAAACAATAAATTCAATTAGAATAGTAAGACAATTAAATGGTTTGAAATTATATTTTACATTTGAAACTTAAACCGCCAGTAGGTGGCGGGAAGTGTTTGTCATTGAATCATTCATTCAGTCGATTCATTCAAAACGGCAGATTCATTCAGGAGCTAAGTAAGGCCCTGTCCCAAATGGCACCCTAAACCCTTGCGGTCTTCCTCTGAGTCCGCACTTTCGTGACGTTATGTCGCTTTGACTATTGGGTAGAAGTCTGCTGTGGAGCTCGCCCCAGTGCAGGCTCAGCAGAAGTGCGGATCGAGGGCGCATAACGGCCGCAAAGGGGGCGCTCGCAAGCACCCTTCTGAATGCTAAAATGATGAATGGGACACCCTACGGTCTCGTGGACTTAACGGACACGCGCATTCGGCGGCCATTGTAAGTCCCTAAGACCGCAAGTGCACATGAAGTGTTCCATTTGGGACAGGGCCTAAGCAACTTCGGTCTTCATGGTTGGTTGTTTAAATCACTGACTCATCTGATTCGTTCAAAACACTGATTCATTCAGGAACGAAGCTCTGGTTTGTTCTGCCCTGAGACACTCAACGGTTCTGTTTTGGCTTGTTTGGAACTATTTCCGTTGGCTAAATAGAGAGAAAACAGACAACATTGTGTCTGAAATTTTATATTAATATTATCTTCTTGTTTATTGAACTTGTATAAAAATCAATATCACATTGTGCTGATGTTTGGGGAAAACCGCACTCTTGCTCGTGTCGTGTGATAACTTAATTATATTATAAATATTTAAAAAAACAAGAACTCATATAGGGGCACAGTTTTAACAGAATATCTCGAACTTTGGGCACGGTTTTATTGATTTTGGTGCCGTTTTCATCCCAAGCACCATTAAAGGGTTAGTTCTTTAACTGTCGACTCTACGTCTGATAATCAAATATTATTTGACAGGCTGCAAAGAAACGACAGCTTTTAAATATATGTGTACAAAAACATAATGTTCAATAGCTAGTCTTGATCATTAAGTGTAGTCAACACTATTAACTTAATTGGCGCTTGCTCTGTGGACTGATTACATGAGTGAAACGTAGCCTAACTGATGCATTCTGGGAGTTGTAGTTTTTAATCCGATTATATAATACAACTATTCATGAGCTTGTATATTGCTTGTACTTGAGATAGTAATTTGAACAAACTTCTGAAACTAAGTAACCCATTAAACTTTGACCATAGTAACTGCATTGCAATGCATTGTGAACTAGCCACAACATCAATGTGTAGTGTTTCATTAATGACAGTATTCATATAATTTTTCCTATTTTCTCAGAAGCCAGAATTTTCCAGCATGGTATTCCTTTTCTCCTTGTCTCTTTCACTTACTTCTGCCTCTTGAACTTCTCACTTGTGATGGAAGGGTGGCAGAATTCGATTTAGTGCAGTAAAAATTAAGACAAAGAGGCCAGAGTTGGCTTGTCATTTTTACAGAGGCACAGATTTAGATAAAGAGGGAAGAAAAACAACAGTGACGCATTGATCAAAGCCTGTCGGCCTCTTGTTCAGGAAATTGATCGTCAGGAATAAAAAGCCCTGGGAGATGAAGAATGAAGGGGTAGATGCTCTTGGCATCAAATCTAATAACTTCATAAAGGCTTGAGCAACTGCAGAACCCAGCAGAACCTGTTGCTTCTGAGAGATGAGCTACTGATAGTTGTTTAAAGTGGACATAACACACACAGTTTCACCCAATCTCACGTTAATCTTGAGTACCTATAGAGTAGTACAAGTTTTCAGATTCAATGGCTTACTAATTCATCATGATGTATAAATATTCATTTATTTGTTTATTTCATTTATTTCCAAATTGCAGTAATGAGAATTTGGGTTTGCATTTTTTTATTTTTTTTTTGCAAAATAATATTACAATGCAAAAAAAAGGGTAATTAATTCATTTTTTATCTTTATGCTGAATGTAATGCAATTTCCTATCTCTTTCTTTTGAAATTGTGTAATGTGAAATTAGTATGCATAACCTTCAGATCAGGAGGTGAGTTATGATTGTTCATAAATCTGAAGCATCATGAATGTAGAAAACATCTAAAGCAGGAGTTTGTGTCTATAGGTTTGTGTGTGTATCTTCTCAGACTTTGGTTTTCTTTGTTCTTCGTGTCAGAACACATTACCTGTTCTCTAACCATGTGTTCACATCTATAACCATCACCAGAGGTGTGATGTATTTTGGACAATTTCATTTATTATTTTTAAAATGTATTTATGTTTATTTTAAACAAATAATTAAATTGTTTGCAAATTTTTTTGTTTTAGTTTTTTTGCAAAATAATGTTTGAAATGCAAAAAAAAAAAGAGTTTTCACACAAATTCTCATTACTTTAATGCAAAAGATATATTAAATTGTAACCTATTTATAGATAATGGTAGTATTTGTTGCACTGCCTTTAATTGATGCCTGTTTAAAAAAAAAAAAGAGAAAAAAGTACAGTATCCCCATTGAGATCAATGGAATGAAAAACAAACTAAAAGGTAAAACATTAGGATGCATAGTATCAGTAATTAGAATTTGGGGAAAATATCTTTCTAGAATACTTTACATAATTAAAAAAAATCTATATTTTTCTCATACTGTCCATTTCTGTAGCAGCTATTTTCACCCTCTGCTTGAAACGCTCTGCTTTTTGGTTCCTGTCTCTTTAAAGCCCTGTCCTTCCTAAAAGCCCAGTCTGCTTTGATTGGTCAATCAGCACAGTATGTTGTGATTGGTCAACCGCTTGGAGCATGTTTTGGAAATGTAATGGCCCTTACCATAATTGAGTTTTAGCTCCCTACACTGTAAAAAATGACAGTGAATTTAATGGTAAAAGACTGTAAAAATGCTACAGTAAAAGCCTGTTAAATGGTTAACGGTAAATTCCCCTACTATATACGGTGAAAAACTGTATTGGACATTACATGTATTGGACATCAATTTTACGGTAGTATACCGTTTTTGGAAGTGAAAAATACCATATAATTTACAGTGAATAACCGTAAATTGACATTCCCAGAATTCCCTGCGTTACATTTCAAATTTGATGTTTTTTTGTTGAAATAACTATGTTTCTTCTTAGTTTTTTCTCATCAGTTTTGTATATTAGGGTTGTGTGTTACACCTAATGTTGTTAAATGAATGTTTATTGCATGATTTCAGTTTCATGTGTGTTACCTGATGGTGTTTAGTGTTTGTGTGAATGACACTGTGCACCTTCTATATATGTTATTATTTAGAAGCTACTTGTGATGGGCTTTGGTTCATCGTGTGACTTTCTCATCACCTCCTGCATGTGGTGGTTATCAGTGTATTACAAAGGTTCAAAACAGATTTCAGTACTTCAATAGGTTGGTATATTAACATTATATCAAATTAAATTACGGTATTTAACTGTAAATTTAAGTTAAAACCGAAAACCTAAAACGCTGCTACCGTATTTTTTACGGTAAAATTCCAGTAACCACAGCTGCCGGTTTTTTACCATAAATTTTACGGATGTTTTTTTACAGTGTAGGATTCATCACTATTTATTGCCCTCGCAATAAATAAATAAATAAAACAGCATCTCCTCTACATAAAATCACTGACCCAACTGTAATTTGAGGGCGGGTCAAAGCAGCCAATAGGCTGACATTATGCATGGTGTCAAGTCATAATGGAAGTCAGGCAAGTGCTTTCTTTTGAGAGATATTCTTTTTTTTGTTTGTTTGTTTTTTTTTGTTTTTCTTTTTGCTTTGTTACTTTGCAGATTGTTTACATGCACAAATAGCTATATTAAAAGTAATACACTTATTTTGTCTTGGCAACAGTCTATTTTTAATGCAGTCTGTAAACATTTAGTTGTTATTAGTATGGCTAAAAATGTAATTCAGTAGTGACATGCAAAGTGATTTTGCCTTGGATAAGTTTGTTGTGTTAAAAAATAATATCCAACTTTATATTAAGTTCTAGGCAATAATATATCAGAATAAGAATAATTGCTGTGTCTATATATCATTTTACACGAGGGTACTTTACATGCGAATAATTTTTGTGAAAAGCTATTTATTTTTGCAACAATATTAAATC